TTTTTTCCCCTCCCAACTACTTTCCTGTAAAAAAATTTTAAATACCTCTTTCCCCCAGCTGAATTTCGCAGCTTTTGCTCACTTCGGGAATATAAAGCCAAGAAAGAAAGAAAAAAAGAAAAAGGAACAACAAGATTAAACGACTATTTACCTGGACTTGTAATATCTGGATACCTGGGCTCCCTAAAAGCTCTGTATCTCGACAAAAACTTACTGTTTACTTTTTGTTTTTTTTTTGTTAACCGGAAAAAAAACCTGGAATGTTCTTTGTTTCTTCTCTTGAACAGGAAAAAAGCTTTATTCTGTATGTTACTAGGGACATCTAGTGGTGAAAACATGCTACAACAAGTGGAATACCACCCACAGCTTAATGTCAAACTTGAAAAAATTCTAGAGCAGTGGTTCTCAACCTTTTTAATGCCGCAGCCCCCAACCGGTCGTAAGTCGAGGACTGCTCAACTGGTCGTAAGTCGAGGACTACTCAACTGGTGCAGCATCGTTTGCAGAATGGGACTTTTGGCGGGCTCAGCAGGGCAGAGAGAGCCTGGACAATTCCTATTGGCTTTTGAAAGCCAATAGAATTAGACTCTATTCAAGAGAGTCTATTCTATTGGCTTTCAAAAGCCAATAGAATAAAAGGGAGTAGTACAGCTAAGGAAAAGGGGGAAAAATGGCAGACTGTGTTGTTTGGCGACCCCCGTGAAATGGTCGTTTGACCCCAAATGGGGTCCCGACCCACAGGTTGAGAACCACTGTTCTAGAGGCTACTGAACTATGAAGTCCACAATGAAAGACTTACATGCCACTTTAAAGCCACAAACCCCATTAGAGGAACCCATACTTCAAAAAGCAATAGAAGAAGGAACTAATAATAAAATGGAAGATTGTCAGGAACAATCTACCAGATCTTTAATATTCAAAACTCGACTTTACTTAAAGACTTGACAACTACAACAGTAACGGAAACTGATCAAAGCAATGCTAAGATGGAACCTCCAGAGGATTTACGACAGTACACTGAGATTTCAGATAATCTAGATGATCCAAAAACAACTACAACATTGAACATGAACCGTCATTTACTTCAGTTGAAACTAGAAGAAGACCAATCAGAATGCATGATAAAGACATCAACTCAGATATGAAGATTTAAACCATTTGGTCAACAATTTAACAACTGTGAAGGGACTGGCTTTCTTGATAGGCTGATGGCTGGATGGTCTCACTTGTTTCAAATGATATATCCAGGAAAGAAAGGAGAACCATTTGAGGCCCAAAAAGCTTTTTTATGGAAGCCGGTTTGGCATAAAAGGAAGGCCAGAGTTAGATTTTTTAAAAAATGGTTTTCTTTGTTTGATATCTAATGGAAGAGTTTTAAACTTTATCTAATGAGCTAAGGAGATTTTAAAAGATATTATTGGATTTAATAGTTAGATTTATATCTATAAGGGAAATAAATTAGTTATTTAAATAATTGTTTTGAACTATAAATAGAAGATGGATTCAGAGGATAAAGGTTATTTTATGAGTAAGCGATGATATTAAAATGAGAATTAGAATATGATGGTGAAATAAATTAAGAATTTATTGGAATAAACAATAAGTATATCTTAGAGATGATACTATTTTGTATGAATTAAGGGAACCGTGGGCTATTTGAAATCTAAATATTATTGGACAGTAAGCCAACTCAAATACTCTAATTGAAACCAGACAAAAGTTAAAAACAGGATTTGAAGATATATAATCTAAAAGCTGTTTATAAATGTTTTAAATGATTGAGTTATAACTAGCAACCTACCAATTTGAATTTGTTATAATGATTAAGGGAAACAGAGGAAATTTTTGATGATGTAAACTGATATATGTATGTATAAGCGTATTATTGGATTATGTATTACCCAACCACCATGTTGCTTCCTTAAATACCTGAAGGTTTGTAAAAATGAAAAATTAATAAAACTTGTTATATATATAAAGAAACAATGGATTGAAACTAATCAAGGAGAGAAGCAAACAAAACCAAGGATAAATTTCTTAACACTGAGAACAATTAATCAGTGGAAGGGCTTGATTTCTGAAGTTGTGGTGCTCCATCACTGGAGGTTTTTAAGAAGAGACTGGATAGCCATTTGTCCAGAATGGTATAGGGTCTCCTGCTTGAGCAGGGATTGGAGTAGAAGACCACCAAGGTCCCTTCCAACTTAAGGCATGCTTTAAAACATGATTAGCATATGCACCGACTTTTTGAAAAACAGATAACTGCATATGACAATAAAGGAATAATTAGTACCCATTAATAGAAAGTAGTAATACAAATCTATAAATTATCAATCTCAAAATCTTAAAGTACTTAAAAATTAAGTGGACAGTTTGGTATATTAATTTAACAGTTGAAGAATTAAAAACTAACGAATTGCATAGATACTTAAGATCAAGCGTAAAATAGAAAAAATATCAAACCTGCATTCCCTGAGTTGTAATGACTAGTTTTTCCTTTCTTCTTTATCTAATGAAAACTTGAAATTTACCTATTATTTTTACTGTCATCATCTTCACCAAAATTATCACCACATAAAGTATTGACAAATTGCTAAAGGAAAAATAATAATCTTTATCAATCTCTCCTACATTTGTCTTTTAGATTTTGCTACCGTTGTCAAGTGCAAAAGAAATGAAAATAAAAGCTACTTCCGAAAGCTGCTGGTGAGATCCTCTGCTGAGAGGTAACTTGTATACATTCTTGTATAAGCAAGATCCACAAGAATTCCCTGCCTTTTCCTTATCAAAAAACATTTGCAAATCTAAACCTAACCCTGCAGTTTTCTTTGCAAGATTTTTCAGATATTGCTATATGAAAAGAACATCAGGAATCAATGTATTTTCCTATCTCTGATTATGAAGATGGCATGCAAAGAACACCGCAGCTCATAAACAGCTTAGTATTAAATGTAGAGCTGTATATTTTAATATAACATAGGTTCATCATTCAGTTAAATCTTTGATTACTTAAGGACACATCATCAAATAATAATGATTGGTTTGGCTATAATATTGGTGAAATTGTGATTGTGGATACCTTTGTGCTCTCTGAGCTTATTTGTTTGCTTGCAGAAGTTTCATTACCCAATTATGTTACATCATCAGTGCTGATCATGTTTACCCAGCTAATGTATTAGGCTATATCAACATTAATGATGTTACCTAGTTTGATAATAAAATGTCTGCAAGCAAACAACCAAACTCAGCATGAGGACTTCAACCCTGAGCTACAAATATTCTCTTTTATTGAAGATTATGATTAATGCAAGAGTCTCTTTGAAAGTTTTTTGAGAATTTTAACTACTTAAAGAGCAAGAATAACACTATAAACCAGTGGTGGGTTTCAAATAATTCAACAACCGGTTCTCTGCCTCACCTTCTCTCCACCTTGATCGGGGTGGGCTGCTCTGGGGTCAGCTGGGATGGGGGCAGGAGGTCCCAGTGGTGGGGTAGGAGCTCCCGGTTATGGAATAGTTGGAGGTCCCAGCTGGGGAGAGCAGGAGGGTAAGGTGGGAGAGCTGCAGGAATCTCAGAGTGGCGTGGATGCAGGAGGTTGGGGGGATCAGCAAGTCCTGGCTGGGGGAAGGTGAGGGGGGTGGGAGGGCTGGGACGACTCCACCAGGAAAAGCCGTGCCCCCACTGGCCGAGCCTGTCATCCACACCGTGGTCAGGTAGGATTGCATAGAAGGGGCGCTGGGTAGGAGCTGGAGGGGAAGCTGCCAGCAAAAGGGGAATCAGAGCTGCCACTGTCTCCCTTCCTCAACGCAGGCACATCGGCATGGGCAGAGATGGCCCTCGGACAGCTGGAAGTGAGCCCTTGCCTGGCCAGGGCCCCATCCTCTCGGCAGCTCTGATGGGGGCAGCAGCTGCTGCTCTGAGCCCCTCAACCAGTCGGCCACACAGGGAAGTAGGTGGTGGTGCCAGTGATCCTTGCATCGCCAAGCCTGGCCAGCAGCAACTCCAAAAGTGAAGCTGTGCCATCCATCCTTGTGTTGGTGAGGGTGGGGGTAGGCAGGCTCTGGTGTGCACCCATCCCTCGCTGCTTCAGCTCCACATCATCCCATGGCCCATTACCACCACCATCCCGTGCTATGGGATGCTGTGCTATGGAAGGGAGACAGCATGCTGGCCAGGCCTGGTGATGAGGGATCGCCGCTGCCGCCTCCTCCTACCCAGCCTCATGCGTTGTCCAGGCATTGCAGTGCACCATCTGCCGGCCACGCAGAGAAGCAGGAGGAGTAGGTGGTGGCGATCCTTGCATTGCCAGGCCCGGCCAGCAACATGCCATCTCTCTTCCTCAGCACAGCATCTGCTGAGACCCCACCATCCACCACCACCACTAACGCAAGGATGGGCAGGACTGCTTCACTTCCAGAGCTGCTACCAACCAGGCTAGGTGATGCAGGGATCGCCGTGGCCGCCTCCTGCTTCTTTGTGTGGCCAGCGGGGCAAGAGGCTCAGAGCAGCAGCAGTAACAGCACAGCAGCCTCCCCCATCAGAGCTGCCGAGCATACAGGGCCTGGGCTGGGTGAGGGCTCCCTTCTGGCTGTCCCAGAGCCATCTCCGCCCACGCCGATGGGGCTGCACTAAGGAAGGGAGATGGTGGCAGCTCTGATTCCCCCTCTGCTGGCATTTAGAGCGACAGAGCTGGAAGGCATTTCTCTGCCACTGCGGAGTTGGCGATCTTGCCTTACCCACCACCGTCCAGATGCCCCCGCTTCCCAAACCATTTTTTTTGTAACCTTCTTCCCAGCTCCTCCGTCATTTCCTCTGCTGTCATGTGCAGTTCCCAGAAACAAAAGTTTGTGGGACTAAAAAAAAAAAAACAGTTCAATCAATCAAATCCAACTTGTGAAAAAAAAAATCTTGCAAAGTTGGAATTGATTGAACTTTTTTTTTTAGTCCCATAAACTTCTTTTGTTTGTGGGACTGCTCACGGCAGTTGAGGAAGTGATGGAGGACCACTTCAGAGCTGGAAAGAAGGTGTTGCACGAGTCTGATTGGGGGCGGGAGGAGTGGTGTTTCTGCTACACATCAACCAGTTCTCTGAACTCAAAAGAAATTAGCTACTGGTTCTACTGAACCGGTCCAAACCGGCTGAATCCCACCCTTGCTATAAACATATATAGGCATGCATTTGTTAACATATTTTGTATTTATCAATGCTTGAATACAGAGTTGTCACTGTATTGCACACTTGGCCACTTTAAAAAAAAATAGATAGATACTGTCAGGAAAATAACATCTTTAAATTTCTATATAAAAAAAGAAAATATATATCTTTTAGCACTACTTTATAAAGAATAAAGATCATAATGATTTGTGTTATTAAGTGTGAATTAAGAACCAGTGTCCTATTTCATAGTGGAAAATACTGTGAATTTATCTTTTTAAGTTATTGTGAACATCCTTTCAATTTGTGAAGTAATTCAAATGATGTTTTATTTTTTTAAAGACTCTCCAATATCCCTTAATTTTAACTGCACCATATGAGAACACACTGACTCTCCTAAGCATTAGAATCTACAAAAGGTAATGGTCACAAAAACAGCAGCATGGATACTGCAAACAGTTCACCACATACTTGAATACATTTCACTATGTACCTAAAGGTTAACAAAATACTGTGGTGTATATTTTCATATTGTTAATTATATCTATTTCGGGGGAAGGTATTCAATAATTTTGTGAAGGTTACACTTTATTTTATGGTAATTTTGATCACAATTTTATTATTGTTTCCCAAAGCCTTCAAGGATGGATGACAAACAAAATAAATACATAAAAGTGGATGATTCAGACAGGTCATATTAAGTTACCAAAGGGACCATCTTACAAAGGAAAATGAAAAATTATTTTGCACATCAACAAGAAAATTGTGGTAAGGCATGTAGAAAATATGTACCTTGAACAAGCTGCATACATACACATAAGTACACAAATTGTTTTAGAAGAATGAACTTAAAGTTTCTGGCATGTCTCCGAATAATGGTTTTACGTACCTCACTTTGACAAGTCGTGAACCTCTATATTTATGTCTTAAAACAGAATTGTGAAATGTCTCATACATCTGTTGGGGGAAAAAAAGTGGTTTGAACAAAGAAAGCTTGAATTTAGCCAAGGAATGTAAAAACTTACCAGCTACAGTACATATAGAATTGCTAAATACAGCAAAACAACAACAAATAATTATAAGTAAAATAACAATAATAGAACAGATGGGCAGCAAAAGAGAAGTAGCATTGGCCTTTCTTTACAATGAAGGAACCATCATTTCAATCAAAACTTTAATTTCTTGGTTCTGGGCTTTGAATCCAGACTTTTATGGTGTTAACTTAGGCTTTTGGCAGTGGTGTAGTTTTTAAATCAAATGATTTTAAACATTTCATGGATACCCTGCTATGTGTACTAGAACCTGGTGTAAACCCTCTAAGGTGGAAGGCTACATTAGAATTACATTAGAAACACATTTAGACACCTGCAAAACTAGTCTCAGGAATTTGGATTTCACCCTCTCTGCTGATATAAAGTTAGATTAAAGATCTGCATGCATGCCATGCAATACCCTATCATTACTTTTCCTTCAAATAATTTCAGCGCCATGGGAATATATTGCCCCTCCCTGGAATAAAAATAAGTAAATATAGCTTTGGTGTTTCTTTTCGCTACATGTGCTTCATGGTCTAAATGGACATTTCTCATCTGGATGAATGGAACATTATTCCTAAATAATTGAAATGCTCTATTTTGTTATCATTGATTTATCTTATTATCATTAATGGTACAATTCTGATTTTTCACTCCCCTAGCAAAGGATAATATCTATGTTTTGAAGCAGATAGTTCAGAAATATATGTGGCTTTAAACACTTATATCATTGCCAGCTTCCAAGACATCCACTTAAGAAAGAAATCAAATAATTTTATTTGTTAGATAGATAATTCCTTTATATTATTTGTGTATGCCATTCCATTTCCTTTTATTACTCCAACAAATCAATAATATTTTAACTCCAACAAAGAAAGAAAAAGAAATAGCAAAACCATCTTCCATCAAAAGATAGAACTTTCTGTCTTTTCCAGCAAATTAATTGCTCAATAATCCAGAACAGTATGAACAAGTTAAAAGGAGTTATTTGATAGTTGAACCAGTTTAAATTCCCAAGGGCAGCAGATTCCTTACCTTCTTCAAAATTCATGCCTTTTACTCCCTATCTACTGTAACTGTAAGATTATAACAAAGATCAAGCAGTATATAATACAGTATTGCTCTATAGCTGTCAGGTTTGGAATGCAACCCTAGTTGAAAGCTAGCTAGCCAAAGTTAAATGAGATAGCTATTCAGTATCTAACCTACAGATGTGAGAAAAGCTACAATAGCTTAGGAAACTAGCAACTGCCAGCCATGAGCCTCAAGTCTTTGTTTAGCAGTCTCTACTTTTAAGCCTTATTGTCTCTCTCTCTTTTTTTTTTTTTTGCCTTGCAGGGGACCCTAAGGAATGAAAGCAGATTGCTTCTGAATGGAAAGAGTGGTAGTCGACATGTGTCCCAAAGGTGCTTTCTCAAAAGGGAACTGAATTTTGTTTTCCCTTGAAGACATTTCACTTTTCATCCAAGAAGCATGACGCATTTCACTTTTCATCCAAGAAGCAAAATGTCTTCAAGGGAAAAAAAAGTCCAGTTGCCTTTTGAGAAAGCACCTTTGGAACAACCAGGACCTGGATAACTGAGAATCCCCATAGATATTGATATGTGTCCATTGTTATTGTAGCAACCCTGTCTAGTCTTCTACTATTATGTCTGAATTAGTTCTAACCCTCACACCAGCTTAAAATTTAAAGAAGCCTCATTCCCACTGCTCATTACGGTTATATTATAGTGCAACTATAATAATATTAAAGTTATTGTCTTTATTTTTAAAAAATAATGATAATCAGGATGAATTAGACTCCACATATCGCTGTTATCAGTCTTAGAACTTTACACAGTAAGATATTTGGGAACTTGATGATTTTGCAAAATGATTTCATGTCACTGGTTCTAAAATAATTTGTATCACAACTGAAAGCTGAGAAAGGTATTTCTTGTTTCTTGAAAAATATGCCAATAGTGGATTGTGAAAAAGGTCCCTAATCAGATTGTGTAACTCTAATTCTATTTATTCTAGATTAAAAATTAAATTAAATTAAACATTAAACTCTCCATATGGACAAAGTTAAATAAAGGAGGAATCCCTGAGGATTTTACTCTGCTAGTCATAGCAGGGACTGGTGCTCATCTTTGTTTCAAGAGCCATTAAGTCAGCAGTGTCCAAAATGTTTCCATGGTCATGTGGCTAGTATGATGTTATGGAGCATTGTTTCCTCCCTACCAAAGTGGTACCTATTTATCTACTTGCATTTGCATGCTTTAGAACTGCATGAAACTTGGGTCTCAAACCTGGATTGTCGGCTTTCAAGCTGACAAGTCCAGCATCTTAACCGCTGAGCCATCACACTGCCTCAATTAAAGATGGAAAAAGTTATATACCAATTTCACAGCTGAAATATGTCTTGAGCTATTTTTCTTTCAATATTTTTTATAAATGAGTAAACAGATACTATATTTTGAAAGACTGGATAAACCAAGCACAAGGGGATAAAACTCTAAGAATGAAAAGCTAAAAAAAAAAAAAACTAAAGAAGCATACATAAGACTATGTTTAGGATCCTTGACGGAAATTAATTAAGGACTAATTACATTCCATTTGTTTCAATGGGATAAAGTGTGGTCTTAACCATTTCCAATCTTGAGAATACATTATGTATAATTCTTCTTATCAGCAGATGAGATACAGAACATTCATATCTGTATTTGACGATGTATTAAGTTTTCATTCAAGATGTAATCACATGTGTAGCAATTCCCTTATTTGGATGCTATCTCTGTTCTCCCAAGTTATGCCTCTGTTGCTTAGCATTATTTAAAAAAACTGATAGCTACATGTAATTTTGTTCTTTAATAGTAGTAAGTTATTTAGAAATAATATATAGTATTATAAACATAATCTCAATCAAGGAGGCAAAAAAAGTTCCCTCAAGGACGTTAGAAAAATACAAGTATATGCTCAAATTTTATATATAAATTGCAGCCTACTTCAAGCAGATGAAAATTACGATTTCATTCTTTCCTGTCTTCCACCATAAAATCTTAAAGTTTGCATTAGAACAGAAGTTGATAGTGATAATGGGTGGCTCCCAGAATAATGCCATTAACAGAGTTACTCTATTGAAACATATTAAGAACTACTGCATCATATTACATCTGTTTTTAATTTTACATGCTAGAGAAATAATGGATAGGATCCTCCAAGGCAGATTAGAACCCCATATGAAAAATGAGTGTTCAACCTGGCTTTAGGAAAAACTGAAGAACATGAAATAATAATAATAATAGTAAAGTTGGAAGGGACCTTGGAGGTCATCTAGTCCAACCCCCTGCTCGGGCAGGAAACCCTACACCATTTCGGACAAATGGCTGTCCAGTCTCTTCTTAAAAACCTCCAGTCTTGGAGCATTTACTGCTTCTGGAGGCAAGCTGTTCCACTGATTAATTGTTCTCACTGTCAGGAAGTTTCTCCTTAGGTCTAGGTTGCTTCTCTCCTTGATGAGTTTCCACCCGTTGCTTCTTGTCCTGCCTTCAGGTGCTTTGGAAAATAGCTTAATTCCCTCTTCTTTATGGCAGCCCCTGAGATATTGGAATACTGCTATCATGTCCCCCCTTGTCCTTCTCTTCGTTAAACTAGACATACACAATTCTCGCAACCGTTCCTTATATGTTTTAGCCTCCAGTCCCCTAATCATCTTTGTTGCTCTTCTCTGTAGTCTTTCTAGAGTCTCAACATCTTTTTTACATCGTGGTGACCAAAACTGGATGCAGTATTCCAAGTGTGGCCTTACCAAGGCATTGAAGAGTGGTATTAATACTTTGCGTGATCTTGATTCTATCCCTCTGTTAATGCAGCCTAGTACTGTGTTGGCCTTTTTGGCAGCTGCCGCACACTGCTGGCTCATATTTAAGTGATTGTCTACTAGGACTACGAGGTCCCTCTCACAGTTACTACTATTGAGCATGGTGCCACCTATGCTGTACTTGTGCATTTGGTTTTTCTTGCCTAAATGTAGAACCTTGCTTTTTTCACCATTGAATTTCATTTTGTTAGTTAGTGCCCAGTGTTCAAGTATGTCCAGATCCTTCTGTATCTTAAGCCTGTCTTCTGGAGTGTTGGCTATTCCTGCCAGCTTGGTGTAGTCTGCAAATTTGATGAGTTCCCCATCTATCCCTTCGTCCAAATCGTTGATGAAGATGTTGAAGAGCACTGGGCCCAGAACAGAGCCCTGGGGCACCCCACTACACACTTACCTCCATATAGATGCAGTTCCATTGAGGACCACTCGCTGAGTACGGCCGGTCAGCCAGCTACGGATCCATCTGGTGGTGGTTCTGTCTACCCCACATTTTTCTATCTTGTCAAGTAGTAGGTTGTGATCTACGTTATCAAATGCCTTACTGAAGTCCAAGTAAATTATGTCCACAGCATTCCTCTGATCCACTAATTTTGTCACTTGGTAAAAGAATGCAATAAGATTTGTCTGGCATGATCTATTTTTGACAAACCCATGTTGGCTTTTAGTAATGACTTTGTTTGCCTCTAGGTGTTCGTTGATTCGTTGTTTGATTATCTTTTCCAGGATCTTCCCAGGTATTGAGGTCAGGCTGATAGGTCTGTAATTTCCTGGATCCATTTTTTTTCCTTTTTTGAGGATGGGAACTACCTCAGCTCTTTTCCAGTCCTCTGGTAGTTCCCCTGTGTTCCAGGATCTTTGAAAAATATAGTTCAGTGGCTCCGATATCACATCTGCCAGTTCCTTGAGAACTCTGGGGTGTAATCCATCTGGTCCTGGCGATTTGAACTCATCTAGGCTGGACAGGTGCTCCCTAACTATTTTCTTGCCTATCTTAACTTGTGTTTCTGTTTTGTTTTTTATTATTGCTGATGCATCATGCCTAATTAGAAAAAAACAGAGAATTC